TTATCTTTATTATTATTATTATTATTATTATTATTATTATTATTATTATTATTATTATTATTATTATTATTATTATTATTTGTTTAAAAACAGTTAAAAAAATTATTCAACGGTTTTTGTTTTATTACCTTTTTTAATTACTACCAAAGTAAGAAATTAAAACCGTTAATGTGTCAGCATTTTATTTAAAAGTAGCAGAAAAAAAATTTTTTTTTTTTCTTATGGTGTCAGCAATAAAATTGTTAACGGTTTTTTTTTGTAATTTCCTTTTTTTTTATAATTTTACCGAAAATATAAATAAATAAGTTGGTTAATTTATAAATAAAAAAATTTTTTAATAAATAATTTTAACTTTATTAAATGAAACGTTTATTTATTTATTTAATTTAAAAGTTATTGTAAAATTTTAAAAAAAAAGAGGAAAGAAAGAAAGAAATTAATTAAAGGGGGTGGGGGTGGGGGGAAAAATAATAAAAATTTTTTAATTATATTTTTAAAGGTCATATAAAAGAGACACTCGTAAAAAATTTAGTACCTACTTTTCTTTTCCATTATAAAATTTTTATTAAATTTTTTTTTTTTTTTTTTTTTTTAGATTCGTATTAAGTCTTGTGGCTGCCAATTTCATATCCGTACTCGGATTGGTACCCGTGGTTTTGTATTTATTTTCTAAAAATTCTCTCGATTGTTTATCACAATTTGGATCTTGTTTACCCGTACTCGTTGTGACGGCTTCCGTTTTTAGCATTCTAATCATCGCCATTGACAGATACAACGCAGTTCTTAGTCCTCTTCATTATTCAATGACAATCACGAGCCAACGAAATAAAGAAACTATTGCTGCTATTTGGTCAATATCAATACTTCTCTCGATACCTCCTTTGCTCGGAGTTTTCAATAAACGAATCTCATATTCGGATAATGAAATTTTAAGATTTTCATATGCCATCGTACTATCCGTTTTCGGATTCATAATACCACTTTTTGCCCTTGTTTTGGTGTATAGTAGAATGTACATAGCGGCTCATAAAAACAGCGAACGAACGAGGAGGCAAAGCATACAAGCTAATGCAGGAGACTGTAGTCGAGGTGGATCGATGGACACCCAATTCCCCCCACCGATTATCACGACATTGGATTTCGTTCGAACTTCCAAACCTCCGATGTTGTCTCAAATTCATAAAAGAAGAATATCGAACGCAAGTTTTTCTGCCATGCTTTTCAGAGAAGAAGGAAGAGCAGTGAAAACTGCCGTTATGGTCGTCGCATCATTCTTAATGTGCTGGGCTCCATTTTTTATTTTACTGCTTTTGTCAACATTCAAACTCGTGGAAGTTTTGACGCACACGACATTATTTTTAGGAGTTATGTTAATTGTATCGAATTCCGTATTGTCTCCATTTATTTACGTGTTTAGAAACGAAATAGCTAAAAATGAAGCGGTTAGATTACTTTTCTGGTGGAAAAGAATCGGTTTGTACGAAGGAAACGTTCTTCAGCAAGCCAATAAAGAACTTAAACTCAAATCGTCGGACGGCAGAATCCGAATTCGACATCAGTCATCGTCTAATTACGATAGCATGTCGGTACAAAGCTTTCAATTACCAATAAATTACAGTGTTGAATGTAAACAGTGTTCGGAACCCTCAAATATTCCAGTCGCGGATTTTATAGCCACTTACGAAGTTGTTAACATGAATGAAGAACTCAAAAAAGACGGAGACGAAATTAAAAGTCCGGAGGGTAAAACCAAAGGAGAAAGTGTCACGTTTAGACTCGCGTTTTTACCACAAAAAAGATGTCAAACGTGCATTAGGCAAAATTCTGATTCATCATCGGGAAGTGCACATCTATTATTAAAAGACTCGGAGTCGCCGACGCCCA